TCACGAGGCCCATGAAGCCACATTGCAACATGGAAACGCGATCGTCGTAGATGTCGACACATTTAATTGCCTCCGAGGCGCCGACCTCCCAGATCCGAGGAGCTATACGAAGGACGCGATGGCGTAGGTGTAACAGTCACCCGCGGTCGGTCTCCGAAGGCCCCGATCGCGCTAATACGGATGCCTCTCCGCGGGCTCGTATTCTCGTATACCCCACAGGCCATCTTACATTGGATCTGAATCTTGCGCACTCCACCCATTTCACAATCGTTGTCCTTGCCTTTTGTTCTTACTGCCGAGCGTCACCAAAAAGTCTTCATCTTTGGCAACTCATGGCACCATTCCAAGGTTCAGACTACCTGCATTGTGCTCTTCACGGCCGCATATCCCATGTTGCCTATGTCTTTCATTCGTACATATGTATGATATCCAAGCTTCCAATAATCACAGCTTCGCCTTGACCCAGCTTTGCACTACCTCTTGACTTCCAGTGCCCGAATCGCCCTTATAACCCAATATCCGCTCGACAACCATCTCTTCGTGGCACGCTTTAGGCGTGACGACGGTAGTGACCAGCCCACCATTGCTGCCAAAGCCCTGCGTGAACTTCTTTGCAAATGCCTCAATGCCATCCTTCAACACCTCGTTATCGCCCGCCCATATTAGAACCTCTTCCACAAAATCGGCAACAGGGCCCCACCACTCCGGAGCTGCGAGAACGGGTTCGCTGTAGAAGTCGCCAGCAAATGGAGAAGAGGAGCCGAGGAAGGCAGTCGCCCAGCGGGAAAGGGTTCGCGCGTCAAACATGTCGCGTTGTGCGTTCGCGACAAACGCTGGCGTGTTGGTCTGTGTCAAAGAGCACCATGGCGAGATGAGAAGCGCGGCATGGATCTTGGATGGAAGTTCCAATGGCGCAATCTCGGGATGTGGATGTGCGAGGTGCGAAAGCAGACCGAGTATAAGGTTTCCGCCAGCCGAATCGCCGCCCAGAATCAGGTCTGAAGGGTTGCGCCCCTCGACGTGCACGAGATGGTGAAGCAGCTCGACTGCCTGCTTCAGCTGGCTGGGATATCTGGCTTCTGGTGCGAGATCGTACGCGAGGAGGAGCGCGGATACGCCGGGACCGAGAGACTTTTGGAAGTCATCGAGCCATAGCATATGGCCTGGTGTGCATGGCATCACATATCCACCGCCTGTTCATATCAGTGACATGCCCCTCATCTTGGAAAGCGGAGACCGACCATTGAAGTACACAAAGACCTTCTTCGCGCTCCTACTACCCAGCCAATGCGCTTGTGTTCCACTAGGCAGCTTGATGCTATCTGGAACGAACTTGTACTTTTCGGCATGCTGAAGGTACGTAGGCGTCGATGATGCGCCGTTCATGTACCGGTCTTGCGCCAGGTCGAGGTTTCCCAGATTGGTCCGGAACATCGCGAACATGACGTCCTTGAAGTAGGTGTTGGAGCCATTCTCGCCTTTGAACGGTGATGTAACGGAGCGTTGCAGCGCAGAGCCCACTGTCGGAGATGTTAGTGCTTGCTTTTGACCTGATGATGCAGGCGCGTACTGGCTTTGAGCGTCGCCGAAGCGATGCCCAGCTTGCTTACATTCTGATCTGCCATTGTGTTGTGATGGTGCTTGCAATGGCAGCAAGACGCTGCCAGCACCCACAGCACACTAGCTACCCCATGGCGCGCGTCTGGGTCCAGACTCCAGGGAGCCGTGCAAGTGCGGAGAGCGTTACCCGACGAGATTCCCGAGGTTCGCGTCCCCCACGCGTGCTGTCCCCGCGATCGATCAGGGCGAGGCCTGCTCCGGCTTAGCTTGCTGTAGGCAAAACTCATCGCAGCTGCAGTGTCAGGGTCATGACTCGAGGTAGGATTTGTCCATTTCTGTCCTGAGTCGCAACCCACACGCATCCATGATCAGCATGGCGTCGCCGGCGGAGGCAGACACGCCCGAAGGAGCCCCTAGAGACGATGGTTCGGGCGATGGTCAGCCCAACAAAAAGCGCAGGACTGGCCCCAACTCGCGTGGCGTTGCCAACCTCACGCCCGAACAGCTTGCCCGCAAGCGCGCAAACGACCGCGAAGCTCAACGTGCCATCCGCGAGCGCACCAAGAACCAGATCGATCGCCTCAATCAGCGCATCCGGGATTTGGAGAGCCAGCAGCCATACCATGATTTGCAAGTCGTCCTCCGCGAGAAGGAGGCGGTCCAGGCGGAGAACGGAGACATCAGGAAGAGGCTCGAGAGCGTCCTGAGCATCATCCAGCCTATTGTGCGCGCGACGGGTGGCCTCAATGGTACGATGACTACTCCCAAAGCAGGAACGAATGTTGACAGCAGGTAGAACTGGCAGCTGCTGCCGAGCGATCGCCCCTTCCAATTCATCCTCACCAACAGCGCGACGCGCCTGTGCAACCTACCGAACCACGACAGTACCACATCGCGTCCCACGAGCTATCTACGGCCTCACCTCAAAACGGAGTACATTCCCCAAGCGTGACCGAGGGGGGAAGAGCATGGTTATACCCCAACGACGCGCCAAACAGCCACTTGCGCCGCTACTCCAATGGCAGTCCCGGGCCGCATTTCGACCAGTCGCGAACACCCCATCTACAGTCAGAGATGCCCTTCGATGAGCGTTTAGGCGTAGACTTTATACTCGACAATGGGCAAAGGAGGGCTGTCGATCCAAACCTGCCCCCTCCACAGCAGCCGCGACCCAGCAACGTCAGTAGTAGCCAGCATGCCATGTATGCACCGAGCATGGTCGCCCACCTCACGTTACCTCGCAATCTTCCGGCGACATGCCCTCTGGATGTCATCCTGCTCGACTTTCTGCAAGATCGTCAGAATCGCGCTGCCGAGGGCGTACCCATGAAGACCCTGGTTGGACCACACTACCCCAACTTCACGTCTCTAGCGTATCCCGAGCGCGCAGTAGATGCACACCCCCTGTCAAAGCTCTTTACAGACATTTTGCGCACGTTTCCAGACATCTGCGGCAGGCCGGAACAGGTTGCGATAGTATTCATTATGTTCCTGATCATGCGTTGGCAGATCGAACCGACGCAGGAGAACTACGATCGGCTGCCACACTGGGCTACGCCACGACCTTCTCAGCTGTTCACTGCTCACGCGTTATGGATCGATCATCTCCCATGGTATGTATTAATATCCGCTTCTTAACTCGTTTGAAAACACATAATGACTGACCTATTCTAGGCCTCGCCTTCGCGACAAACTCGTCGCTGGCCACCCGCCAGTATCATTCGAGAACTTCTTCATACCCTTCACGACTACCATTTCCCTGAACTGGCCTTATGAGCCCCGCGACTGTCTCCTCCCTGCTTCGAAAGTCCATACCTCAGCTCTCTCGACGACCTCCTCCGTCTCGGTCTCTTCGCCTTTCTCCACACATGTCAACGCCGGCTCGCCGCAAGATCCTTCCACCCCACAGCCTCCCACAGCGCATACCTCCGCCGGTATCACATCCATGGGTCCGCTACCCAAGGAAGACGATCAGTGGCTCATCAACCCCGCCTTTGAGACGCATCTCCGCGACCTGAACAATTGGACATTGGGCCCCAGTTTCAGAGGCAACTTTCCCGCATTCGCTGATTGTGTGAAGATCAAGGAAGGCAGGTGATAAGGCTTGTAGATGTCAAATCGCGCCGCGGTTAGGCGCTGGCGTGCGGGACAGGAAGGTGTTTATTAGGTATTGCATGTATCTTTACTGCATCATTGGCGGGTAATGTGGTGGCTCTATTGTGTATTATCATAGCATTGGGTATTGTATCTTTCCAACTGTACACGCTTGGGCATGCATCAGAGGGAGCAGTGGGCTGGCTTGGGGTGGTGTATGCTTGCGACAGGCGCTTTAGCATCATATCGGTATCATAACGACGCCACACGAAATCTATACCAACATTGTCTTAAACCCTAGGCTTTTATCTTCGTTGACCCGCCAAATTAGCACTACCTACCGCTTCGGGACGACCAGGACAATGTGGGAGAGCAAGTGAAGGTGAGTGCCCTCTCCACTTTTGCTTAGTAGTGTCGAAACGACTGACCCGGCCAAGTAGCTTGCTTCACTTCTCAATCACACCCACCTACAGTCTCCTCCACCATATCCAATATTGACGACACACCGTCTCCCAACAATGACGTCCATGGTTCGCGATCCCTTACAGCAGCTCAATGGCAGTCTGCCTGCCAACGTCGTCGAGACCATTGCTGGCAAGTCCAATTCTTTCCCATGAAGACATGAAGTAACTGACGGCCTAAATGCAGGCAACATCACCTTCCTGATCAAGTACACTGGCGGTCACGAGATCCTCGCGTCCCAGATCTCAATCACTGTCGTCGACGTCCGCGGCCACAATAATAGCGAAGTCGGCCACAAGGCAACCGTATGCATCCACAACGGCCCAGGTGACTTTACAGTTGTAGTCTGGGAGCAAGTCAAATGGGGCCAGAATGTTGTGCAGGCACTCGGAGAGAAGGTGGATAAGGTTGTCAGACAAATCCTGAGGGACGAGGAGAATGATGGATATGGCGACTCCACGGACTAGGGATTGTGGGCTCGATGACTGTAAATCGAGAGAGGTGACAAGCTTGCACATCAGCCACATGGAGATTTACTACAACCTCGCTCTTGCCGCGGTTGGAATTAGTCGACCTGACTGAAGAGGATAATTGCTAGTCAGTGGGCCGGCTTGTAAAGCAGACATTCCTTCAGTATTCGCGTCATAAAAATGATACTAGATCCCAAGTCATAGCTCTTAGATGATTCCGCCGTCCCGCACGACCCTCTATAATTCACCCAGAATTCACTCTCAACACCTAGACATGCAGTGACGCAGGCTTTGTCCTTAGCGCAAATACCCCAGATCCACTCTCCTACATGGGAGTCTCGTACGTCCAAATCTCTCCACTTTATCCTCCCCACTTTGCAATATACCAATAAAGTCGCGACCAATCACCTCATCATGTCAACTGATTCGCTCGAACAGCGACTCTACGATCTCCTTCAGCCTTATCGCGAAGAGTGCTACAAGAATGCTTCCAACACCGCACCGGCAATAGAAGAAGAACGCCTGCTTCTCATACTTTGTGGTACGCAGACATTCTACCCGCTTCAACTTCACTTCTACTCAGGCCTGACTCCTACCCACAGAGAACATATCGTTCATAATCCGCCACAACCAGTCTTCTTATGGCAAAATCATCGTTCCAATTGATATCTCTGTCGGCTCTCGCAACTGGTCTACTATGATCAAAGGCGGCGGAGGGATAGCTGGAATGGGAATCTTCGTCAACGGGAACGGGTATACACACACTGTCATGCGCTGCTGGGCGAGGAAGGAAGACGGGAAGAGCGTAATCGAGATTCTGACGGAGGAGTGTGACAGGGCGCTGGCGAACTTCTTTCCCGAAGTGAAGGTGGAGCCACAATGAGAGTGATGGAGTAGCGCGAAGGCAATCACTGTGTTATCGGACTAGAGCGAAGAGCCGCGAAGGGAGGGAGGAGGACTTTAAAGCACTATCGGCAATCATATGAGTGGTGAGGGTGAAGATTCGAGCTTCCAGTCTATAATGTCAGGTGCAACCACGATGTCTTGGCGTTCTCGTCATTGGAAGTTACCATTTCCCACGCTTCTCTCTCCTTCCACAAACACCCGTAGAGGATAACCATTGAACTTCCCGACGTCAACTCAAACAAGCCTTCTTGCCAATGTCTACAACCCAGCCCGCAAACGCGCTCGAACAGCGCATCTACGATCTCATGCGCCCATTCCGCAACGAATGTTATGAAGCGCCCGACACTGTCGATCAAGTCGCCGCCGCCAGCCGCGCTGTCAAACTCGAGCGCAGGATCCTCGTTCTAGCTCGTACGCCCAAGGCACATCTATCTCACGCTTAACATCTTGATTGACATGTTGCCAGAGAACATCGCATTCCTCGCGCACAACGACATCTCCAACGCCGGACAGACAATTAACGCCTCCGATATCTTCGTGGTGATGAGAGGCTGGACGGGAGACGGAGTGGCAAAGACAGGTGGCGCAATTGCTGTTCTTGCACGCTATCCGGAGGGTACTACGGGCGTTGTCAAGGCTACATTTGAGGCTGGTGTCAGTGTCGTTGACGCGTTGTGTACGAAGGTTGACGAGATGCTTGCTGCGAGCTTCTGAAGGATGCAGCGGCAGTTGTGAGCAGAAGGTAGTAATGTTGGCGGGTAAGGAATGATCGGCAAAAGCAGATGGAAGCGTTAGCTCCTCAGTGGTTGAAATTTTATGAGATGTCAACTGTGATAGAACCCAGTACCACCACTGTCTTACTCGCTCCTTGCAAGGTCGTGGAATTAAGCTCATGTCCCGGCTCCTGACGTGTGACGGGATGGTCTGGTTGCAGCTAAAGTGGGGCTTGCTAGTCTGAGACCCCAAGACATGGCTCAAGCTAGGTGTCTGACTCGTGAGCCTCATCTGAACGGGCTTTCACATTGGGCAGAAGACTGAGTAGGTCGCAGTTTCTAAAGTTTCGCGCAAAGCTCCGAACTGAGCGCTCAATGGGTCCTCGCCCACTCTCGGTAGAAGTCTAGGCATTGGGCGTTGGCAACACTCGCGCTCGTCTTGACATTAAGTCCGCAAAGGATCTGCTTGACAGCGCCTTCAACCTTTTTTCCGTTGGTGGTAACAGGTATCTCTGGGCACTCATCCACCACAGCTGGAACATGACGTGCGCTAAGTGCCTGCTTGATCGTTGTCTTGATCCTTCCGACGAGATCAGTAGAGATCTGACGACCGTCTGCCATCTTGAGAAAGAGAACGACGGTTTCATCCGTATCAGTCTCTCTCCTCCGGCCGATGCAAAGCGCGTCCGCGACGTCTTCGGGGAAATGCTCAAGTACTACGTTGTATATCTCGGCCGATCCGAAGCGTACGCCCGCAGGTTTGAGTATGCCGTCGCTGCGTCCAAGCATCCACAGTCCACCGGTTTCGGGATTGAATCGCACGAAATCGCCGTGGTGCCATATTGGCTGATTCTTATCGTTCGTGAACTTGTCAAAGTACGACTTCCGGTACTTTGACTCCCCTTCAGGACCCCAAAATGCCACTGGCTGACAGATGAAGGGCTTGGTGCAGACTAGATCTCCTGGTTCGCCTGACATCGAGACATCGGCACCTGTGTAGTCATACGCAGCGATTGCCATGCCTAGACCGGCGCCTTGGATTTCGCCTTCATAGACGGGTAGAAGTGGGTTGGGTGCACCAAAGAGTGAGATGATGTCTGTACCACCAGTGATGCTGCCGAGATTGATGGTTGAAGGGAAGGCGGAATAGACGTAAGAAAATGTGGAAGGAGCGAGTGGCGATCCTGTCGAGTAGATTGCTTCAAGCTTATTCATCGTGAGTCCCGCAGCTGATGGGTCGATCGACTTCTGCTCCAGAATAGAAAGGTACTTTGCGGACGTGCCGAAGTGCGTGATGTCAAACTCGTCTATCAGACGATGCATTGCTAGGTCGTCTGGAACAGATGTCGAGGGGTCGGAACTGTCTACGTACCGGAACGGAGAACCGTCATAAAGTACTAATGTAGCGCCCGAGGCGAGCCCACTGACCAGCCAATGCCACATCATCCAAGTACATGTGGTAAAGTAAAAGAGTCGTGAGCTGGGTTTTATCGAGCAGTGAATGATGTGTTCCTTTTTGTGTTGGAGTAGCGTACCGATGGCCCCATGAACGATACATTTGGGTGCACCTGTCGTGCCACTCGAGTAAAGGATATAAACTGGATGGTCTGGCGGCAATTGCTTGAAGGTGAGTTCTGACGTAACCTTCAGTGATGTGAATGTTGCGTAGTCGTAGGCTTTGCCAGATTGTACCGGGATAGAGGTGACGTCGAATTCTACTGAAGATACAGTAGGAAAGATGACGACGGCTTCGAGCGATGGGAGATCCCTGACGATTTCAGTAACCTTGGGAAGTACTGGATGACTCCGACCATTATAGAAGGCCGCATTGTCTGCAAAAAGCAGGGTTGGCTCAATCTGGCGTAGTCGATCGAGAACGGCATGAACGCCAGTGTCTGGGCTTACTGCGGTCCATACGGCCCCCAGCGACGACGCGGCCAACATTGCTACCAACGCGTTGGTGTGGTTTGCAACATAGCCAGCTACTCGATCACCTTCTTTGAGACCAAAATGTATCATGCCGGCCTGACATAGCTTCACTCTATCCCTGAGTTCCTTCCATGTCACTGTTTCGCGTGTAGTTTCTGTAGCAGCGATGACGGCGGGTGATTCGGGGTTGACTTCGGCGGTCGGGAAGAGGAGGTTCTCAGCGAAGTTCAATGTCGCTCCCGAGAAGAAAGCCGGACGGGGAAACATGGGCAATTCTTCATCCACGGCCTATCGTCTGTAAGTAGAGGCTACATGGGATGGATCTACGATGACTGACTGATGTGAAGGCTCCCTGGTGTCGGACACCCACAAATTCCCACGTTCTTTGCCAGAATTCGTTGATGTTGTCGATACTCCATTTGTGTAGTTGCGAATAGTCGGATAGTTGCAGGTTGTGTGTCTTGTTCACTGACTGCAAGAACTGGTACATGGGTGTCGTCTTGGGGGAGGAGTGCTTCCAGAGAAGTTTGGGGCCTGTTGATGTGCCATTGGCACCCTTCGTGCCGTTCATCGCGTCGTGATCGTAATGATAAGTGTTCTTAGCAGCCGTAAATACTGATGTTCTGAAAAATTTGAGGTTTGCGGCTATTGCAGGCTCCTGACAATTCTCGACGGCGGTCTCGCTTTCCCCGCGCCCCCATGCGATGTTTGGCAGCGGCAAGTTCCGATAGCGCATCACGAAAACGTCGCGGTTCCCCACCCCAAACACCACAGCACCTCCATCGACTGTGGAGCCATCATCACGTCCGCTCCGCGCATCTCTAAAATGCGATCCGTTTTTTCATCGACCCACCAGGCTGTCTGCTGGCTGACTACGTCATCCCAACAAGGCTGTGGGGTCTACGTCGCGCATATGCGTAGGCGTCAACTACGCGCCCACGCACCCAACCATTTCAGAATACGCGTCGACTTTCAGCAGCCCTCGCAGCTGTATCACAGCCACGCGAACTCAACAGTTTCATCCCCGTTATGCCACAACTACGAAGAACTCGGGCGGTGAAGGCACGCGACATACGGACGCTGCGGTGAGCCCATGAAGGGAAGGACCGGCCAACACTTTCATCTCCGTTTCTTCCATTGCCTCGAGGTCGAGTTTCAGGCCTGCGATCGACACTCTGCCTTGGGGCCAAATTCACCGGTCTGCCAGGGTCGTTCGCATCTAAGATAATGGTGTGTAGAGAATGGCCAGCGCATGCCTCGCCTATCCCTGATGGGGGTAGCGCCTGGTCCTTGCACACTCCTCAGTATCGAGCACCTGCCACTCTATCGTCTGGCCTTCTACGTTTGTTCTTCGATAGTTCGTCTCAGGAGATTGCAAGCGTACTTGGTATACACCACTAGCGCTCGGGCAAATTGGGGCGTCGATTACAACCCTCATGGTAAGATTTGGGTGCAGGAACGATTTCACTCCTGTCGCGAATGGGCGTCAGGATCAGATGCTCACTCAGAAATTTCACGCGGTGGCGCCGATGTCTGCCTGCTTTCCTAGCGTTGAATTCCACCACACCTGCACGTGGAACTTTGTGGACGATCCTGTCCGTTTCGCTCCTCCAGCCTGCTTGGTCCATCTGAGAATCTTGGAACCTTGAGGATTGCCATGGCCACCTACGCTGAAGCTTTGAGAACATTCTCCATTGAGTAACACCGGCCTCGAATGAGCTTAACATGTGTATGATTGTACATTCTTTGTCGAGAAACCAACTGTAATCGCGTATTTTCAATACGAAACTAGAGGAGCCATCGTAAACCAGGTATCCAGGCGAGCTTGCTCCACCCGGCCCACACCCAGACCGACCCTCGAGTTCGCTCTGTCTGCTCCAGGGAAAAGGATGTGTGGAAGATTGGTACCTGCATTAGCCTTTCTTGCGCCTCTCACTTGACCGCTACCCGGGGTAATAACGCGCGAACACTCGTATGGTCTCAGGCCACTAAACCAGATCACCATGCGTTTTACGATTCCGCCATCGGGTCTATGGTCCGGCCTACAGTCAGCCTCCCAGGGGTATCGCTAAGATTGACGGCAGCTTTGTTCAACGCAAACGCAAGTCTGAGGCCGAGCCATGCCGAGATGTTGCCAAAGAAACCGGATGCTGTCTCGACGCAGCTCTGGGCATATTGCTGAGCGTGCAGGCGTGGTCTGGTGTCGCAGATCATTGTACTCTTTTACATGTCTTACATGCGTGCTAAGCGCATGCAGGCTGCATCCACTACCCTTTTATGTTCCCCACGCTCTCAGGTCATAGTGACGGGATGGCTGTGTTTTGGCACGCCCCATCCTAGCATACCAGCATCATGAAGGCGACCAGGGTCTCGCAGCTTGACGTTGGCAAGATACGCGATGCGCGTGCCCGCTTTCGTACGTATAGTACCTGCGTCAGCCGATGCTTGTCCTCAGTGTGTATGCTAGCCCTACAACCCTTGTCCCTGTCCCTGTATTCCCCTTTCACTGGATCTGCGCATCATGAAACCAGAGATTCTCGGGTAAGTCGGAGACTTCTGTATTATCGATCGGTATGAGAGAGGTTGGATTTGAGCTTTACACTGACATCTTCGTACAGGCAGCAAGATGCGCAGTGATCTTCATTACAAGTGTAGAGGCTTGAGACTTTTCTTCACAGCATGCCGACGCCATGTCGAAGAAGTGCAAAACAGAGCGATGCGAGCTCCTTCGTGGACATCGCTATGGAGAATAAGAACGCCACTCAATTGCTGTCACATCCTTGTACCTTACCCCGGCCCTTCGCTGCTCTTGCCCAAACCGCGACGACTAGTGAAGTCCCATGCTTCATGATGCTGCACCTGGCCCTGACCGGGTGTCAGCAGAGGGAGAAGCTAGATATCAGTGTTTTGCGAGGTCGGTGCGCCGCTTGGAATACATAAGGAGGGTATGAATATAAACAGGCCCAGTGCCACTATGATCTCGACACCAACACCAACAATTCGAGATCTCTGTCGTCCGCCACAGCCAAATCGTCCCTGGAAGCATTGTCTGTCGAGACTTCTGGTGCGTTC